TATTATTTAAAAATGTCTGAAACTCATTGCTTGTGAACGGGGGACCTTGATCCGATACGATCTCCACTGGTAGGCTCGTTCGGCGCTGGTAAGCTACCGTGAAGCATATGCCACGGGCCGCTCGCCGTCCGGCGTCACGTGCGAGAGGACTGCACCTATCCCCACGCCGCTCGCGTCCGCTGTCAAAATCAGCGGCAGATCCAGCGAGTAATGCACTAACACCTCACTCGAACCTAATCTCTGTTTTATACTAGTGAATGCTATCTCACACTCTTTATTCCACACAAATTTAACGTTAGCCCGTAATAAATTATACAGAGGTGCTAATATTGTACTTACGTTTTTTATAAATTTGGAATAATATATGACCATGCCTATGAAGGCACGCAGCTCCGAAACGTTTGTGGGGGCAGGGGTCTTATGAATCGCTTTTATCTTATCCTCACAGGTTCTAATTCCGTTTTTATCAATAACGTGGCCAAGGTATGTTACGCTGTCCTCGAAGAAAGCACCTTTTTCTTTTTTTTTTCACGTAGACCGTGTGACTTTAGTCGCTCATACACTTTATGTAAATTATTTATATGATCCTGGGCCCCCTTTCCCGTTACGACTATGTCGTCGAGAAAAACACCTACATAAGGTATATCAGCAAATATTTGTTCTAAACGTTTTTGGAAAATTCCTGGGCTCGATGAAAGACCAAAGACTAGCCGGTTATACATAAACAATCCCTTATTGGGTGTTAATGACCGTATATTTCTTCGATTCGTCTAACTCAAATTGAGCGTACGCCTGTGATAAATCGATTTTACTAAATTTTTCTCCCCCATATAGGCGAGCTAACACGTCCGCTACTTTTGGTAAAGGATAACGATAGACTTCAATGACTTTATTCAAGGTTAACTTGTAATCAGCGCAAATTGTGATGTTACCATCGTTGTTGAGCACGGGAACGCAAGGTGTGGCCCAGTGGGAGCGGTCGGCGGGAGGCAGGCCGGGGCGCGCAGCTAGTCGCGCAGCGCGCCCGCACGTGGATGCGCCGTGCCGCCTGTGAGTCGCCCCGGGCCGTCCGCAAATACTTCACACTATCAGGAACTGAAAGCGTCCAAATTGAATTCTTCCTTTACATTATTCACACAATTAAATTTGGGAAGTTGTACACTGAGCTCTATTGACCATTGCCTACCCAGTAGCGAAGTTTTAACGCCCTCTATTACATACAAGTTCAAATATTTCTTCTTATCATTATACAAAACTAAAGGTTTTATTACACCAACGGGTTGAACTAACTCTCCGGTATAGTATCTTAACTTCATGTTAGATTCCTTAATCCCTATATCTTTAAATAACTTTAAATAAAGTTCGTAACTTATGCAAAACACTGCACTGCCCGTGTCACATTCCATAGCTATATTTTTGCCATGTATATTAAGCACTATCATAATCGGGCTACACATTGATTAGAAAATTGATGAATGTTCTTTATCATTACCTCATCACTCTCCCCGCTGTCCCCCACTTTAGGTGGTCTTAGGCGAAGGTTATCACCTCGATGGTATGGTGATCCGTCAAATAAGGGCAGACCCGATGTAAATGCCCCTGTTTGTTGCACACTCGACACACGTGTCACACAAATTGGCATCGCAAACTGTCGTGATTACTTACCACCGCATGCACTAACTGCTGCTGCTGTGTGTTGGGGCGCGGTCTTTGCATGGCGGCTCGCTGCCCGCGGTGCACGCTGCGTGCGGCCCGGCGCGGCCAGTGCCGCTGCCACTGCCACCACCACTATAGTCCCGCCACGTGTCCGCCACCGCCACCACCACTATAGTCCCGCCACGTGTCCGCCACCGCCACCACCACTATAGTCCCGCCACGTGTCCGCCACCGCCACCACCACTATAGTCCCGCCACGTGTCCGCCACCGCCACCACCACTATAGTCCCGCCACGTGTCCGCCACCGCCACCACCACTATAGTCCCGCCTCGTGCCCGCCACCGCCTGGCACGCCGCGATGTCGCCGCCCGACGTGTCCGCTCGACCTTCTACTGCTGCCGCGTCTTTTTCCGCCGCTTCCATACTGACCGCCAAGACGTATGCTTTTCCAAAATCGATTTTATCTTCCGTGAACAGCCGTTGACGTATGGACTCACTGCTGACGCCGCATACCAGTTGGTCACGCAAACTTTCCTCTAGCCAGTTACCGAATTCACAGATGTTTGAAATTTTTTTCAAAATGGCTACGTATTCCGAGATTGATTCGTTGCTATTTTGCTTCCGATTGCGGAATTTGTATCTCTCCGAAAGTATACTGGGTTTGGGCTGTAAATATCTTTCGAGAATTTCTGTTAATTGCTTGAACGATTTATTCGACGGTTTCTCCGGTGTACAAAGGTTAAGCAAAAGTTCGTAACACTCGGCTTCCATCACAGTAATAAGTGTTGGTACTTGCCTTTCCGGTTTAATTTCGTTTACTACGAAATATTGTTCGAGGCGTTCTACGTACAATTTCCAATTGTCGGAATTAACATTGAACTCGGTTATTCGGCCGATCGACATCTTGTATGCACTTCACTGAACTGGATTCGAATTAACTCGTCCCCACTGAGAAATAAAACACGTCCTTGCGTAACTGCATTTATCACAATCTAACGTGGCAGATGCAACTGCCTACTTACATTGAAATATATATATATATAATATGCATATACTTATATTGTACGATCTACCGACATACATCACACATATAAAAGTAAATACGGTACTTATAACTAAAATAAATTTTAACAATTTTTGTCTGTCTGTCTGTTTGTTCCGGCTAATTTCCGAAACGGCTGGACCGATTTTGACGGGACTTTCACTGACAGATAGCTGATTTTTTAAGGACTTACTTTTATTTTAGAAAAACAATTAAGGTTCCGCGCGAAAACATAAAAACCCTAACACGCGAGCGAAGTCGCGGGGAACAGGTAGTAGAGGAATAAATGTAGAATAGCGGTGTTTTTAACTTTCATGCAAGTCTTTTCATTGTTGCTCTGCGTCTAGTTTCGATTGTTAAGTTTTTTACATTAGTGCCTGCCAGTAGCTGGAGACCTTCCGTACAGGCCCTGACGTTTGGCGCGTAAAAAACAAAATCTCCTAGCGCTTGACGGGTTAGCAAAATCAATATCTAACTGAGAGAAGTAGCCTAATGCTATACTATTCCTCCTCCTCATGAATCTGGCTATAATATAGAAAATCATTTTTTCAAATCGGACTGATAGTTCCAAAGATTGGCGTGTTTAAACAAACAAAAAAACCCTTCCACTTTATTATATTAGTATAGATTACAAAGTTATAATGCAGTTGTTGTGTTATGTTCATGTTATTTTTATGTTTATGTCATATTCTCTTACTCCTTAGGTGTCGTTCCAACCTTATGAAAGTCAGCCTTAGTGCACGCGATTCCTAAAAAAGGCTGGGACCTATCCAAATACAGGCCTATCACCATCACCTCCTAGTTCTCCAAAATAATGGAATCCATTATTAACTGCCAGCTCACGCGTCACGCGGTACCTTGAAGAGCACAAGCTGATTAGTGACCTTCAATACAGTTTCCGTCGAAGCTGTTAGGATCGATAGGACGGAAACGGCGTGTATGGATGTATGTATACATACATACACACCTACTTACAAAATTAACTATTTTATGGGTGCCAGTGGAGAAAGGACCTCTTAATATTCCCGTAAACTTCCACTGCTGAACATGGAAGGATCTCTCCCTACGCAGGAAGGATTTGCCTTGAGAGTCACGCTTGGCATAGGACTGACGATCGCAGAACCAGACGTGAGCACCTCTGGCAATGTCGCCTGGCGCCGGCCTGGATATTTTACATCTGAAGTAAACGAGGTGGTTATACCGCCATCTGTCGGAAGCCATCAGATTTTTCTAGCAAACCCATAGTCGCCTTTTACAAAACCCACGGGACAAAATGTGATGATGAATCTCTTATACGTAAGTGCGGTATTAGGTATATTCACAAATTGCAGACTTCCCGATACGTCGGTGCTTCAACGGAGAATCGGGAAGTCTGCAGTTTGTGAACATGTTCAAGATCATCCCCGCCATTGCATTAGATTTGATAGACCACAAATCCTCGCAAAAGAACACCGATTCCTCCCAAGGATGATTCGCGAGGCTATTGAAATTAAAAAACATCCTAATTTCAATAGAGAAGATGGATGGGTGCTGCCATCTGCTTGGGATCCCATAATTAATAAAATCAAATCCAAACCCAAGTATACCACTGCTAGACTTCAAGATACTGTAAGCTCATTCTGCGTAAATCGAACCAAAAATTAATATTAAAAAACTGAAGGTAACTATGACAGCAGGACGTCAAACACCTCAGTCACCCGTGACCACGGGTGCTGGAAAGCACCCAAAACGTCGGGAATATAAAAATAAGTTAATATACGCGATAAAATCCGTAAAATTAGTTTTATTTAAATGTGTAGTGTTCGCGTAAATATAAGAAATCATTAAGTAAATGTAACATAGTGAGAAAAATCATTCTTTCCCTCCAAAAATGAATATGAGAGACATTATTCGGAGTAATTGACTAAAATACTTTATATCTGGCAACAATATTTAGTATTATTGTGTAAAATACTATAATTTCTTTATTTCTCCCTGGGTTAACTGATAGAAAATGCCATAAGGCATAAAATTCGCCCATTGTAAACCGTTGAAGGTGTCTTGCAATAAAGATGCAATAACTTACAATAAATAAAAAGTTTAACTTCGACAAATCATTTTTCAGAAACATCTGAGAAGAAGATTAAATCAAATTCTACTGATTGTAAGATAAACGATGTTCGTGAAGAAGAGCTCGATTTTGAAGGCCCTACTATTAAATCAAACCCTAAAGTGAAAAAAGATAATCAACCAATTAATAAAAGAGGAAAGCATCCTGCAAAGATTATGAAAACGAAAATATTGAAACAAAAGAGTGTAAATATGCTTAAGAAAAAAACATCTGGGACATCAACTAAATACATTTTTGAATGTGATGGTTGTAGTAAAAAATTTTCAACAAAAGACATTCTCGCCAAACACATTTCATACAGTCATAAGACGCAAAAGAACTCAGACAGCACTGCAGTTCGGACACAAGTAGTACTAACTCCAGTACCACAACAAACAGAAATATTTAATTGTGATATTTGTGAATTTAAAACATCTCAAAAACGTTCCATGTTGGCACATCTTAAAGCGCACGTCGCTAAACAAATGTACTGTTGTAATAATTGTGAATATAAATGTATTAGAAAAAGTAAGTTGCAAAGACATATGAAAATACACACCGGTGAAAAACCTTTTTCGTGTAATATCTGTAAATATAAATCTATTACAAAATTTCGTTTGGAAAAACATATCAGAATACATACTGGAGAAAAACCTTTTTCGTGTAATATCTGTGAATATAGATGTATTAGAAAAAGTGATTGGCAAAAACATATGAAAATACATACTGGTGAAAAACCTTTTTCGTGTAATGTATGTGAATATAGATGTATTACAAAAAATTGTTTGCAAAGACATATGAAAATACACACTGGTGAAAAACCTTTTTCGTGTAATGTATGTGAATATAGATGTATTTCAAAAAGTTGTTTGCAAATACATATGAAAATACACACCGGAGAAAAACCTTTTTCGTGTAATATATGTGAATATAGATGTATTTCAAAAAGTTGTTTGCAAATACATATGAAAATACACACCGGAGAAAAACCTTTTTCGTGTAATATCTGTGAATATAGAAGTATTAGAAAATGTGATTTGCAAACACATATGAAAATACATACTGGAGAAAAACCTTTTTCTTGTAATATCTGTGAATATAGATGTATTGGAAAAAGTGATTTGCAAAGACATTTAAAAACACACACTGGAGAAAAACCTTTTTCGTGTAATATCTGTGATTATAGATGTATTACAAAGATACAATTGCAAACACATAGGAAAAGACATACCGGTGAAAAACCGTTTAAGTGTAATATCTGTGATTTTAGATTTAGTATAAAAAGTAGTTTGCAAACACATATAAAAATACATACTGGAGAAAAACCTTTTTCGTGTAATATCTGTGAATATAGATGTATTGCAAAAAGTGATTTGCAAACCCATATGAAAATACACACTGGTGAAAAACCTTTTTCGTGTAATATCTGTGAATATAGATGTATTAAAAAAAGTCGTTTGCAAGAACATATGAAAATACACACCGAAGAAAAACCTTTTTCGTGTAATATCTGTGTGTATAGATGTATTACAAAAAGTCATTTGCAAAGACATTTAAAAACACACACTGGAGAAAAACCTTTTTCGTGTAATATCTGTGAATATAGATGTATTACAAAAAGTCATTTGCAAACCCATATGAAAATACATACTGGAGAAAAACCGTTTTCGTGTAATATCTGTGAATATAGATTTATTAGAAAATATGATTTGCAAAGACATTTAAAAACACACACTGGCGCAAAACCTTTTTCGTGAGCTATCTGGTGAAATATGTACAATATTTTGTAAACTTGTTTTATATAAATATGTGTGTACCAGACAAAAATCCATTTTTTGTGAATTTGTGATGTAATTATATAACGAGTAGAAAAACCTTTCCGTGCCTTATGTGCAAATTGAAACTGCATTTATTCTGAAGAAGTTAATTCAATACCTAATTTAAAATTTTGTACAACCGAATTCAATATAAATTATTAATAATAATTCAAAAACTATTGGTCAGACCACATGTGAAGCACCAGCTTTCAAATAAAAAAAGAATTATCGAAATCGGATCATACAGAAAAAGTTAAGAGGTAATAAACATATAAAAGAACATACAGTCGAGTTGATTACCTCCCCCGTTTTGAAGTCGGTAGAAAGCAAAAAATATTGGAACCTTAAAATAAATACCGAATGTGTGAATGGAGGTTAGTGAAACAGACGGGACCTTCATGTTCTTTTTTTAAATTTAAATGACAGCTTTATCGTTTGTCTTTTTTCGCATCGACGTTTATCTTTACCGTTTTTTTATATAGGAGAGGGGGCAAACGAGCATGATGCAGCTCACCTAATGGTAAGTGACTACCGCTTAATAACTAAAACACCAGGGGAATTGCAGATGCGTTGCCGGCCTTTTAAAAAGGTTTTTTGGCGGTAGGTGAATAAAAAGTTAACACATATTTACGCTTTGTGATCTCATTTTAAATTAAATAAAACAATAATTTACTGTAAATTATATAATTTTTGAGTGCTTGAGTCCATAAATATACAGTACTTACGTAAATTCAACAGTGTATATGTGAAGTGATTCTTATCTCCCGACTTCCAAAAAGGAGACGGTACTCAATTCGACTGTATGTTTTTTATGTGTGTTACCTCAATAGAATAGCATAGAATAATTTTAGAATAGAATAGAATAATTTTAGAATAGAATAGAATAATTTTAGAATAGAATAGAATAGAAAAATTTTTAATATAGATCACATGTGTAATTCTTATTGAAAGTAATTTTTTACTTTACCACTGGTTCGAAAAAAACCTCTGTCCTGGGAAGAACCAGCAAGAAACCCAGCGGGACTTTTTTTTTAAAGCAAATTTTACAATAATGGTTCATCAACCAAGTATTCATTTATACTATAATAATCCCTTTTTATACAGTTTCAACTTAACAAAACATTTAAACTTGCTAATAGAGAGAGCCTGTACACTTTCCGGGACCTTATTGTAATAGCGTATACATTGCCCCAAGAATGAATTACTGACTCTGTGGAGTCGAGAAACTGGTACTACTAGCTTGTGTTTGTTCCTAGTGTTTACAGAATGCACATCATTTTTTTTTACTAAAACTACCTTTGTTTTTGTGAACATACATTAAGTTTTCGTAAATATACTGAGAGGCCAAAGTTAATATATTTATTTCTTTAAATTTATTTCTAAGAGACTCTCGGTTTTAGGTTGTAAATAGCTCTAATGGCCCTATTCTGTAAAACAAAAATAGTTTCTGAATCAGCCGCATTTCCCCGTAGCAAAATCCCATAAGACATTATGCTACGGAAATAACTGAAATAAACTAATCTAGCTGTCTCGACACTAGTGAGACCTCTAATCTTTTTTACAGCATAGGCTGCAGAACTTAGTCTGCTACTAGTTTGGATATATGGGGGCCCCACTGAAGCTTTGCGTTGAGAGTGATGCCAAGAAAAACAGTGGATTCAACAGGGCTCAGTTCTTCCCCATTTAAAAACACATTGGTACTCAGATTTTTAACATTCGTTGTTGTAAATTTAATACATTTAGTTTTATTCCGTTTAAATGTAGATTATTAACGTTAAACCAATGCACTAATTTTGATTTAGCATTATTCACTTCGTCACATTTAAATTATTGACGTTTAAGTTTAAAAATCAAGGAAGTATCATCAGCAAATAATACTATATCATGATTATCCTCTACAAGAGAAGGTAAGTCATTAATATACACTAGAAATAGGAATGGGCCGAGAATCGAGCCCTGAGGGACACCCATTAGTACAGGTTAGCCGGAAGAACTTTTACCATTGATAATAACTTTCTGCATTCTATTACTTAAATATGAAATAATAAGTTTAAGCGCTGTGTTCTTGACACCATAGTACTGTAGCTTCCTGATTAATGTCTCATGGTGAACGCAGTCGAAGGCCTTGGAAAGTTCACAAAATATACCCAAAGCATCTTCTGAATTCTCCCATGCACAAAAAATATGTTTAATAAGCTCAACTCCAGCGTCAGTTGTCGAGCGACCTCTTGTAAAACCGAATTGATTTCAATGTAGCAATTTATTAATATTAAAGAAACTTAACATCTGATCTAAAATTATTTTTTCAAAAATTTTACTAAATATTGGTAGTACAGAAATTGGTCTAAAATTGGCGGGGTCTAATGTACTACCAGATTTAAATAAAGGTATGACTTTACTATGTTTCATTAAATCAGGAAACACACCAGATTCGACGCTTGTATTAAATATAGTGGCTAGATAAGGTGCTATTATATCTATTATAGATAAAATAACTTTAACGGAAATCCCCCATAAGTCTGCCGTTTTCTTAACATCAATAGTTTTAAAATATTTAACGATATCTTTTGGCAGTACACTATGGAATTTAAAAGTATTTGAACAAGCCTTTACATTTTGTTTGAGCAATGATTCGGCGACAGTAGGAGAAGAGCTTAATGATTTAGTTGTCAAAAAAGGAACACCAGTAAAATGTTTCTCAAAAGCCATAGCAACTTCTTGATCAGATCGGGTTAAATTATTGTTAATATTCAATTGAAAATCCGAGTTGCGCGGTTTGACCTTGCCTGTTTCACTATTTATTATTTTCCAGGTCATTTTAATTTTGTTAGATGCAGTTTTAATTTTGTTACTTAAATGAAAAGCCTTACCTGTGGCGCACACTTTCTTGAATATTTTAGAATATGTTTTACATAATCTCTAAATATAACACTATTATTATATGATCTTTCATTATAATGCTCTTATACCTTTCGCCTACTCTTATAAATTCCTACTGTCGCCCATTCATTAAATGATTTGCGACTGAGGGAAATGATTTGTTAAAAGAGGGAGTTTTAGAAGTAAATATCCTACTAAATTCACAAGTTATAATTTTAAATAACGTACCATACAAATAATTAGCACTGTTTTTAAATGAAAGTGATGACCTCTCCACGCGATGTTCATTTATTGGAACAAACACAACTTTCTTATTTTTCTGTTTCTTGTATATGTAAGGCAATGATACAAACTGTCCGCAGTGATCTGAACTTAAATTTTGAATAATTGATTTATGCAAGGGCTTAACATCTGTAAAAATGTTATCTATACAGGTCGCGCTATGCCCAGCAATACGTGTTGGTTCTAAGAATAAATTAACAAGATTATACGATTTAAACAATGAGCTAAACTTAATACTAATGGAAGAAGTTCCAAGGAGATTGATGTTAAAGTCTCCACATATTACAACAGACTTGTTCTGTTTACTAAGTTTGAGCTATTCTATTCTATTCTATTCTGACACCACTGCAGTTCGGACACAAGTAGAACAAGCTCCAGTACCACAACAAACAGAAATATTTAATTGTGATATTTGCGAATTTAAAACATCTCAAAAACGTTCCATTTTGGCACATCTTAAAGTGCACGTCGCTAAACAAATGTACTGTTGTAATAATTGTGAATATAAATGTATTAGAAAAAGTAAGTTGCAAACACATATGAAAATACACACCAGAGAAAAACCTTTTTCGTGTAATATCTGTAAATATAGATCTATTACAAAATTTCATTTGGAAACACATACCAGAATACATACCGGAGAAAAACCTTTTTCGTGTAATATCTGTGAATATAGATGTATTAGAAAAAGTGATTGGCAAAAACATATGAAAATACATACTGGTGAAAAACCTTTTTCCTGTAATGTATGTGAATATAGATGTATTACAAAAAGTTGTTTGCAAATACATATGAAAATACACACTGGTGAAAAACCTTTTTCGTGTAATGTATGTGAATATAGATGTATTAGAAAAAGTGATTGGCAAAAGGGTTAATCAACTTTTTTTTGTCAATACTTGTCCCTAATAGTATAAATTGTTAAAAACTTACACTTTGAGTATTAGGGCTTAAATTTTAGTATGGTTATAAAATCAGATCTTTCATAGTTCATTTGAATTAATACTTGACTGCAATTATACTTTAAATATCAAAAGAAAAACTCGTCACCCAATGGACAAAAAAGTCTTCCCATACAAATTCTTCCTGTCCCCACGGAGTGTCAGCCTGGTATCTAGCAATGATACTACATTTTTTTCCTAAAGATGTAATGAACATTTGCGACGTCAATTAAATACTACATGCTTCCTTTCTCTGTCTCGTTTTATACACCCGTAGGTTTAGTTTTGGGTATAAAAATTAAAATCATAATTTATGTCCCCATGATAGCAGTAGAACACGCGTCTCCTGGGTCACACACATAAAACATTGTTAAATACGAGAGAGATAGCATGTGAGTGACTTAGCCAATAGGAAATAGTTCTGCAGATCGAATAATCCTGCCTACTTAGACTCTAGAAGTGATTTGGCTCGACCATTTCGTCCGTGACTTCAAGAGTGCCTCCGTGTGTTTATTGTGCGTCCGCTGGCTGACGTCGAATTTTCATTAAAGGTAATATTTTAATACGTAATTTTTATACTAATTTATTAAATTTTATATCTGACATTCCTCTAATATATGTTATCATCTATTTATCGAAACATTAACAAAGAAAAAACGTAACAAATCGAATTATTTCTCCTGGGTGACAATTCCACTGAGTCACAAAACACGTGACCCAGGAGACGATTTTTGTGACCCAAGAGACATCTTGCATTTTTTTTTACAAATGATAACAAATAAGTCTTCTTAATCAATATTTACACTCTGTTCCAATGTTCAATTACCAATTTCGTTTTCTCTAAAAATTTTACATGTTAATTATTAGGTTTGTTTTGCTTTTATGTATGTTTAATTGTTTCAGTAAATATGCCTTTAACAGCCGCCGAAAGGCAGAGGAGATATAAAGAAAAACTCAAACTGAATTCTGAAAAGTACGAAGAATATAAAACAAAAAAGCGGGTGAATTATCATACAAAAAAGAGACTTATTAAAGATTTAACACCACAAGAGAAATATAATGCAAGAACAATTTGGAGACTTAGGAAGAAAAATTTAAGACAGAACAGGAAAAATTTAAATCACCTTCTTGATATAACACCTCCGAGTTCTTCTTCTATATTGATAGCTGGAGCAGATGCTATGATAGCACATGATGCTTTTCAAAATTCACCGCATCAAAACGATGACGATACGGATATATCTGGTATTAACAGTCCGCAAAATATGCTCCTAGATAAAAATGTATCAAGGAAAAGTAGAGGACAACAGAAAATTAGGAGAGATCGATCAAAATTATATAGGGAAAATTTAAAGTTGCGGGAAGAAAATGAAAAGCTAAAACAGAAATACGAAAAATACAAAAAACGTTGCCAAAGAAACAAACATGAAACAATGGAAAAAGACAATGCTGATAAAACGACAAAGTACATTAAGCTATCCGGTGCTATCAAAGAAAGGTACCAAAAAACAAAGAAACATAAAGATAAGAAAATACTGAAAGACATATTTGAATGTATTGATGACTGTGAAAAAAAAGTAATGGTTGAAGAATCTCTGGGAATAACCGGAAAAATAAGGACTAGTTTGAAAGTAAAATCGAATACAACAGAACTAATGAAAATAGTTGAAACCTTTTACCTGAGAGATGTTTCAAGACCCACAGCTGGTAAAAAGGAAACGATTACACGGCAGGGCCAAAAACTGCAAAAAAGGTTCCTTTTGGAGACAATGAAAAATCTTTATAAAACATTTAAAGCAGAAAATCCGAATACAAAGTGTTCATACTACTACTTTACAAAAAACAAACCTTTTTATGTTGTAAAACCTTCTGTAAGTGGACGCGAAATGTGTTTATGCAAAATGCATACCAATCCCGTGTATAAGGCCAGGGCATTAAAAAACAAGGGCATTATTAACAACGACAGCATGAGTCACCTTATTGCCGCTACAGTTTGCAATCCCAAAGAACAAGCCTGTATGTATGGAACTTGCAATCAATGCTGCAGTTTCAAAATTAGTTCTGATGTTGATAAAGATACTGATAAAATTCAATGGAAAGAGTGGGTAAGAGTTGAAGAAGCATATGAAAAAGATGGAAAGAGATTTAAAGCATTTAAAAATATTAAAAAAGATAAGGAAGGAACTTCTAAAGCGTTGTTAGCCGCATTTAATGAAGAACTGAAATTATTAAAGAAACATGTTTACAATATGAAAGTTCAATTTATAAACTTCAGACAGGCCATTGAAAATTTACAACAGACGGAAGTGGTCATTGTGGCTGACTTTAGTGAAAATTACTGTTGTAAGCACCACGAAGAAATACAAGCGCATCATTTTGGTGGTTCTAGGCTACAAGTATCACTGCACACAGTTGTAGTATATATTCTTACTGAGAACAATAAAAAAGTTGAGTCTTACTGTACAGTGTCATCAAACACAAATCATCAACCTGCAGCTATATGGGCACATTTGAGTCCTGTACTAAAGGATATTAGAAGCTCGTACCCCGACATTTCCACTGTTCATTTCTTCACAGATGGTCCCTTTAGTCAATACCGGCAAAAACAGAACTTTTATCTTGGCTCAACTGCATTATTTGACCATGGGTTCAAAGCCATGACTTGGTCATTTTTTGAAGCTGGTCATGGAAAGGGGCCAGCAGATGGCATTGGGGGATATTTAAAAAGATCAGCAGATGATTTGGTCGCCAGAGGTAAAGACATTTCATGCACGGACAATTTTTATTATGTATTGAAAGATGTTAGCAAAATAAAGCTTTACTTAATTGCATCAAAGGACATAGAAGCCATCGCAAAACAACTGCCATCTAAAATCCAGCCCCTGCCAGGTACAAAAAATGTTCACCAAATATTTACCACTGGTCGAGGACAACTTAAATATAGAATACTTAGCTGTTTTTGTAGCAGAGGTTTTTGTGAATGCTTAGCACCAAAAGCATACAGGTCTGTTCCACTTGTAACAGAAATTGTGACAACCGACCGTGACAACAATCAAGCTGAAGTTGAAGCAGTAAACGCTAAAAATAACGGGGTTGTTTCTGGATCGTACGCTAACGAGAAAAGCGTTGATAAGAATATGCCGTGCAGCTCCAAAACTTGTGAGGTCCCTATAAGCTCCGAGGAAGACTTACCTTTAAGCCACTACAAAGTTTCTGCGGAGAAATCCCCTCTTAAAGAAATTGAGTTGATTGAATTAAGCCAAGCTCACAACAAGAATTGGTATCAATTTGTTTATAAAACACCTGAAACTTCTGATGATGAGCCAGTTATGACATCTCTAAAACCAAAAAGTTCAACTGCCCAACTTAATAAAAACAAAGGGAACCAGGAAGTGCGACAGGGGGACTTTTTATTAGTAAACGTTCATGCCACAAAAGGTAAGCTTTTTAAATATGCTTGTGTAGTTGATGATTTGCACGAAGATGGCGAGATCAGAGTTACATTTTTACGTTCTGTGAACAAGAAAAACACATTTCGTCTCGAAAAGAGTGACGTAGCTGACATCGACTACACTGACATAATAGAAATTCTAGCTGAACCTATAATTACTACCAAAAGAGGCCAACAGTATTACATATTCGAATATGATGTACACGTTTTAGAAAAGTGATTTGGGAGTAATTACTTACTTCGCTACTTTAAAGTTCTTGTTATTTTATATGATTGTACTTATTTTGATTATTAGATAATAGAGAGATACCAAAAGAGAGGAAAAAGTTAATTTTTGTTAAACTTTTTATTGTAATTTGTTATTTAGACTATACAACAGAGTATATGACTGAATTTTTATTAATTATTAACAATTTTGAAATTTATTGTTCTTTCTTTAATTTTGGTCGGTATCTCCTTATGTCTCTTGAGTCACTGAGTTTGTCTTCTGGCTGACAAAAATGTCCCCTAATTTTATGATGAATCTCTCGACATATAAATAGAACAAAATATTTTGCGTATATTTGATTTTTAGATAATGGTTGATGAATAAGTGACGGTAAGTACAGTATTAGTTCTGCTTACATGAGTTATTTAAAAAAAAAGTTATAGTAAAAGTTTGTATTGATTTCTTTTACCAGTGACCCAAGAGAAACAAGGGACGTCATTATTTTAAGAAAAAGACTGATTTTTTTAGTTTCAAAGACTTATAATGATTCCTTTAAACTTTAATAAAAAATAAATATACTGATTAATCTTTTCTGTTTTGTTTTACTTACGATTTATTGTATTGCGTGTCCGTTACCCAAGAGACATTCAAAGTTGTCGGTTCTGACATTCTTGTTTAAAAACCCTAGTAGCATTTAAAAAAGTTCGATGCTTTACATAAAGTCATAAAACTAGATGGTTAAGTTATCTATATTTAAAGTTAAATGATTAGAAACACCACCTTTATTTTTTAACACAAAAAGTTGATTCATTACAGAAAATAGTTGATTCACCCAAAAACATATGAAAATACATACTGGTGAAAAACCTTTTTCCTGTAATGTATGTGAATATAGATGTATTACAAAAAGTTGTTTGCAAATACATATGAAAATACACACTGGTGAAAAACCTTTTTCGTGTAATGTATGTGAATATAGATGTATTTCAAAAAGTTGTTTGCAAATACATATGAAAATACACACCGGAGAAAAACTCATAACTTTGTACTGGGTGACCCGATTTCGATGATTCTTTTTTTATATGAAAGCTGATAGTTCTCGTGTGGTCCCATATGAACTTGATCAAGGTCAGACCAATAGTTTTTGAGTTATTCTTAAATAACTTATATTGAAGTCGGCTGTACAAAATTTTAAATTTTAAATTATTAAGTACACCACCTGCCAGCACAGCACACTTACATAACATATTTGAGTTTTATTAACCCATTGTTACTTAATTGGATACTATACAATGTCTCAAATTGAGGAGATTAAAACCGCACAAAATAGCCTGGAGGAATGCTTCTCTAAGAGAATGGCCGAACTGGAAGCACAGCTACAATCTGGGGGACCCGCAAAGGATACTGTTGCAAAGGTGGCAGAGGAGTTCCGGACCTTCCGAGAACTCATGTTCTCCATGCTAGATCTGCTTCGCAAGCAAATTAATGAGTGCTCCCGCATGGTTGATGTCATTGATACGAGACAACGACGTAAGGCCCTCATTTTCTTGGGAATCGCCGAAATGGATAAGGAGGACTGCAAGGCTGCTGTACTAAACACAATCCACAAGATGAAACTGAGTGACATAACAGGAACTTCTATTCGTGCTTGTCATAGGATTGGAGTAGCCAATAAAGACCATCATCGGCCAATCCTCGTAAGGTTTTCTAGTGTTGAATCCAGATTATCTGTGTGGAGGGCCAAATCCCGGCTTAAAGGATCTTCTGTCTCAGTGAAAGAGTTTCTGACAAAGGCACGACAGACTGTTTTTGGCAAAGCTCGGTTGCATTTTGGTATGAGAGCATGCTGGACTCAGGATGGCATATTAGTGGTTAAAGCTGCTGATGGGACCAGGTACAAGATAACCACAATGGTTGAGCTGAACTCTCTTACACTAAAATATCCTAAGACAGCAACGGTTTCTTCAGGTGAAGGTAAAAGCATCACCAGTAATGAGGGAGAAGCGGGCTTCAAATCTAAGTCTCGCAAATAATAGCTGCTGATCAAAATTAAGTTTTAATTTTGATGATAAGTATACCTTATTAGTCAATAATATCTGTATTTTTTTTTATAATAGTATGTTCTTATTTTTGAGTACCTATAGTTTTAGTATAAAGGCTTATTTTATTTTTATTTTATTATTATTTTTAGTCTTAGGTATGTTCTTCTCACTTTCTGCTTATTGTTGTTTCTATATTTTACCTTGTGGTTTTTATCATAACTACACATGATAGTCCATATGATTGTTCCAATTAAGTTAACTAATCTGCAATTACTGTCACACTCAACCAACATTGTTTTAATTATTTTTTATGTGTATTATCATTGACCTACTGTTCCATATTTGATGTCTTTATTTTCTTTTCATTAATGTTTCGGTATAATTTTATAACTAGAAATAGTACAATTTGAAAGGAAAACATCTCGTCTTACGTATAACATTTCGAATAAATATTTTTTCTTACTGGCAAGCACTCTTTAACTTCGAAGCGAGCAACCCTTTTTTCAACTACATCCGCAACGACCGCTAGTAACGGCCAACTTCCTCGTCAACGCAAGCATTAACGCTTTTGACGGTACCTTGTACGCGCGCGTTCCGTTACCAGCAATAGATAAGATCTCATTTCCCTGCTCCATCGAATACTAAGGCAGCTTTCCATACCTGACCTGTGGATAAAAGAACAATAGTGGACACATTCGGCCAGAAGATACATCACACCGGGCCGGTAAACGTTGGGCAGCTCAGAAATTACCCAGGTGAGTGTTTGCCAGGTCTTATGTACATAACATAATTGTTTTTTGGTCCTTGCGAGCCAAATCTTTCCTTTCAAATCGTGCTGTCTTAGTAAGAGTGTTATTTTAGTTTCACACACACTTTAAATTTTAAAATTTAACGTACATACGTACTTTCACCGACGTGTCGTATAGGCCATCTTTGCAACGCAAAATGCCGGATCCAGCACGAGTTGAAGAATTTATGTGTGATGTTTCATGCGAGCAGGACATGTTCGAACGCGATATTATTTTAGATGATTTAAAAAGAACATTACAGTTCGCAACGACCGATGAACAAAAGTTCCGTTCGCGAACTAAAGATCTTACTGCACAACAAAGAAAGTTTAGTAAATTACAAACTAAAATAGAAAAATGTCTAATAAAGACAAAAATGTTCAACAAAGATGAACAAATTAAAATTCGTAACGATTTTGATGACGCATGCTACGCTATTGTCACGCATCTGAGCAAATTAAAACAAGATGACGAGCAAGTCAGGCGTATGAGTAGGTCTTTTAACTCCGAATCGTTTGCACAATCCCACAATCCAAAATTGCCTAAAATTCCCTTGCCCAGCTTCTCGGGTAATAGTACTGACTGGAATTCATTTTATGACATATATTTCACTCGTACATAACAATAATGCCTACACGGATGCGGAGAAATTCAGATATTTACTCCTTACTTTAAAAAATGAACCTTATAATTTAATTAAATCAATTCCCATTACCGACGCGAACTATTCTGTAGCCTTACAAGTATTAATTTCGCGTTATGAGAACAAAAGAATTATAGCTTCCACTCATCTCGACAAAATTCTCGATGTTGAACCTTGTTCAGAAAAATCAACAATCAGCTTACGTAATTTACTAAACATTTACCAAGAAAACATTAAAGCACTTGAAGTCATGAAATTTCCTACAAACGAATGGAGTTTTATCTTATTAACGATTTTACTGCGAAAAATTCCTTCATCTATCCGGAAAAGTTTTGAGTTATCATTAAAATCACCATCAGAAATTCCTGATATCAACACACTAATATCCTTTTTGGAGCGGGAGTTGTCCGCAAGCGAAATTTCTCACCCTAATTTCGGTCAGATTACTAAACACGAGGGTCAGTCAAAATCAAACGCACCATCAGGCAGCGGAGGTAGCCGCACGACGGCATCTCCGGGCGCACGCCGTATATTTATAGGAAACAACACATCACAGCCTGTTTCAGAGTCTGCATATAATATTCCAAACAAATTTCCGAGTGTTAAATATTTCCATTGTATATGCTGCGACGCCCAACATACACTAACTAAATGTCCGACGTTTTTAAATCTATCACCCAAGGAGCGCTATACATTTATCAGTGGTAAAAACGTTTGCTTTAATTGTTTACACGTTGGACACGACGTTAAGCAATGCAGATCAAATTTTATGTGTCGGACGTGCAACAAACATCATCATACGCTAATTCATTTCGATAATCAATCTTATGTAGGTGCTACCGAGACAGCTGATCCGCATGACAGCTCCGCTTCACTCCCTCCTACAGCGTACGATCCCGCCACTTCGAGCGATTCTCAGCTGGTTATGACGTCGATACATCACACGACTCGCGACGCTAGCGCGCAATCTATTTCTGCTCCGTCAGTACGAACGAGTACAGTGTTACTGTCAACAGCGCTCATCGATGTTTACGTAAATAATCATAAGCGATCGACCGTGCGTTGTCTCATAGATTCGGGAAGCCAGGTTTCTTTTATTAGTGAGGCGTGCGTACAACGTTTGGGCTTAGCGAGAAAACATGTCAATATTCCTCCTGTTTACGGAATTAATGAAAACAAACCGGTTTATCCAAAGGGTTTAGTTTCGTGCTATATTACACCAAAAAATAAAACACAACCTTCGGTACAAATCGATGCCTTAATCTTACCGAAGCTTATTACTACACAAATGCCCTCTTGTCAATTACCTTATAAAGAATGGTCACACATTAAAAATTTGACGTTGGCTGATCCCGATTTCTTCACACCACAACCCGTAGAAATGTTACTTGGAGCGGACATACTTCCCCAAATTCTATTAAACAATACGGTGACTGGGCCGCCTGGTACACCCATAGCAATAAATAGTATTTTTGGATATTTACTGCTAGGCAAGCTAGATTTTAATATTCATTCACCCGTTTCATTCCCAGTTCAAGT